TCCATCCATCCATCCATCCATCCATCCATCCATCCATCCTTCCATCCTTCCATCCATCCATCCATCCATCCATCCATCCATCCTTCCATCCTTCCATCCATCCTCTATTTCACCTATCTCCTGATCCATTTATTTTAACGCTACGCAAAAGTCAGAAGACTGCTTCACTCATTTTGCAAAGCATGCCTTGAATGATTTGCAATGTGTGCTATGACTGCAAGTTCCATGGATCATGTCTGAATAACACTGTTACAAGGTAGGGTGGATTTTGGGATCCTTACTTTTTCAGTTGGCAACCTGCTGGAAAGAAGATTCCAGCAAAGCCGGGGAGATCCATGTGGCTGAAACAAGCCATTTTGCCTTGTCGCTGTGTAGAAATAATATGGAACCGCAGCACATGGAAACATCTCCCATGCAGGTTGGTGTGGGCTTCTCTCCATGTTTGTCTGCAGGCTGACTTTCAGATGGACATGTTTTAATCAGTTGTGCATTAGTGTAAAATCAACTGGCAGTTGGAGGGATTGTCAGACTTTGGTTTGGTTGGGCCTTCTACCAACATCTTCACTTATTTGATGGAACCATTAAATGCCTGGAAGTGCCAAAGCACTGATTTCTATGCACCTCTCCCTGCACATGAGTCTCAACAGTATGCCCAATATGTTGAAGGTTGGAGGACTGAAGTCAGCTGTTCTGCCTGCATCAACAGGTCTTGCAAGTGGTGGATGACAATGTGGATCCTTTCTATGGGTGAAGAGGTATAAGAAGGAAAAATATTTCTTTCTGATTTATATTTTGTTGCATTTATATCCTGCTTTTCTTCCAGGGGTTCAAGGAGAGGTAGTTGTACTTCCTCTCCGATATTATTTTCTTAACATGTGGGTTGGGCAGGTAGAGAGCAGCTCCTCTCAAATTGTTCAAATGGTCTAGGACTTCTTGGGGCGAAAAGATTTGAATCAGGATCTTTATAGCCCTTGCCCAGCTCTATATTATGCTGATTGTGATATCAAGTCAAAGTCATACATCGCAGCAGACCTTTTTGCAATTACAAATATTAGGGCTCACAGACTTTTGGATTTGGGGCTCTCATCCCAAATTAGCAAGCTGACCTTGAGTTTGCTGATATGAACAGCTGGCTAAAATGGACAGCTCCAAGATCTATGCCCCAAAGGAACCCAGATGAACGGTTTGTGTATGTGGCTGCTGGTTGGCTTCATATGTACACAAGAGGGAGATTGTGGTGCATATTTGAGCATGAGCTGTGAGTGGCTTGCACATGAAGGGGTTAAGCGTTAAATTAGGCTTTCAGACACAAACACTCGGTCCTCACCAATGGTTAGAGAAATAGATCAGCAAGATTCCACTCCTTTTATTTTTAATAACCATGAACGCTTTGGAAATATAGATGACTCACCCAGAGCCTTGAGTACAGGGATCCCTGAAAGTGCCTATGTTTAGGCTGTAATCCTATATATATATTTATTTGGGAGAAAATCTGCGTTCAAACTGAACTGGATGCCAGGGCATTTTTTGGATTGTTCTCTTAGCCAAGGGCAACAGGCTGACCCAAACCGATTCGCTGAGAGCCATTTCCCCAGCACTGAAATTAATGTTAACTTCACGATTGTTGGCCTTCAACAACATCAGGGAAATTATAAATATCATGGCAGAGAGCAGGGCAACTTTCCCCCGAGCTGTTTTTATTAGCCAGCAACCAAAAAGGTCAAGATGACCGAATGTTCAGATCCGTTTCCTCCTGTTAAACCTGTCCTAGAAAAACACACTCCAAATTTTCTAAATTACTAACAATCCAGAGCCCTCTGCACTCACTGCCTTAGATACAGAACAGGGTTTCAGTTTTTTTCTTTTTTTAAACACGATTATTATTGCTGGAATCCATTGATCTGTATACAGTCCATTTATCATTCATGAAAAGACCTGGTGATCTTCACAGTATATTAGAAGAAACAACTCAGATCATCTGTCTACGGCCTTCTTATTTCTGTTTCTCTCTACAGGGATTTTCATCTCCTTCCATTCTTGAATTAAAATGTTGCTAAGCAACACCGCTGGGGGCATGGATGGCGGAAAGGCAAGACTCTATCAAACTGTTTAAGCGGTTGGAGATTTCCATGTTGATGTCTTTCATGCGTACACACACACACACACAGGGAAGAGGAGAGACCTTTTTTAATGGCATCTTCTGCAAAACGTTCTGAATCCAAATTTTCGACCTATGCAACGTCCCCCTGTTGGTGTTTCTAAGTGTTTTCTACTCATCTCTGGCTTTGTTAGCAGAGAGCACAGACCATCCACAAAGATTGCAGGGAGGGCTGGGAGAGAAACCAGAGTCTGCCTCTGCAGAAACCGATGACTGTGGGTAAAACGCATTCCTCCCCTTAGCACGGCTAAGACGGCGCCACCGGATGGAAGTTCGTAGCCTTGCGCCCCCAACGGGTCTCCTCTGAAATGCCTTTTTATAAAAAAAAATGTAGCAGAAGCCCTCTTCTCATCCATTCCTAGAGGCCCCTTTGGGAAACTAAGAAAACAGGGCAAGAACACTTTCCTACATGCTGATGGAGGGGAGGAATAAAAAGGAGGAGTGGAGGGAAGAGCAGGACAAGAAAAGGAAGAGTGAAGAAACTGACTGCATTTCCCTGGCGAGCCAAAGCACCACCATTATTCTTCACCAAAGTTAAGCATGCTTGAGTAGGAGCTCAACAGCCAGTTGCCCGATCCTTTCCTTTCTCTCCACCAAGTGCAACTCTTTACGGGTGCCAAATCATTCCTGAGCAGTGACAGGAGATGAGAGCAGCAGGCGTGGATGAGGAGAAGGTTGGGAGCTCAGAATCCTCCAGATGGCGCTGAAATACAGCTCCCAGCATTTCCCACCAGTGGCCATGCTGATGGGAGTTGGAATCCAAGATCTGGAGGACCATCGCTTCTCCATCGCTGGGTTAGAAGGCCAAGGGAAGGAAGACAGAGAAAGAGGCCCCACAAGAAGGAAGCTGAGCCTGGAACTCACCAATCCACTAATAAACAAACCTAAAAACACTTGAATCAATGTGCTACTTTTGAGAAATGTAGGTAATTTAAACCCACATTTGCCCCTTCCTCTGTGCACTGTTTTTTTTTAAAAAAAAAACATTTGTGCATTGTTTTTATTTTAAAGTTTGGAATTCTTGCTTACTGGTGCCAGACACAGTGATATGAAAGACAATTGGATGATTTATTATAAAGACTTGTATTCGTCCTCCCCAAAGATCATCTGAAATGCCCACATTTATATGCTGATCTGGGCTCAGGAGTTTGGATTACTTGGTGAACCATCTTGGAGGCACTTTTAATGGGAAAGTGGCACAAACTTGTAAAATCTAAAGGAATTCAACCACAGTAACGACGACGATAGGACCTCCTTAAAGCATGCTTAAAGTGGTGCTACCCGAGAAGGTACATGATGCTTTGATGAAAAATGGTTTTACAAAAACGTGCCAATTGTTAATTAGGGCTAATTACATTTCTCTCATCAGAAAGAAAAAATGCATTGTTTCTTTATCTCTTTTTGTAACAAAGGAGACTTTGAAATATACATTTCTGCTAAAGCTTCATTCTAAGCAGACCTCCAAATTATTCCTTTTTTCTCCCCTTCCCTGGGATGGCAAGCTGTTGAGTCTGATTGTCTTCACTGAACAGTTCACTCAGCTTTGATAATTAACTTTTGATCATTAGTGGCTTTAATGGGGGTAATATCATATTGTCCTAGTCACCCCCCTGGCCCCCACCAGTTACTTTAACACTCATCACCTTTAATCTTGGAACAAAATGATCTCACCAAGCCTCCATCAGCCTCACTAGTGAGGTAGTGATTTCTGCTTCTCATTTCGGTGGCTAAGTTTTGATTTGTCAGAGATGTGATTTGAAGGTTGGATGATTAATTTAAAGTACTTCAGATGGATTCCTTTCTCCCTCTTCAAAAGGTGTTATTGGCAAAATCTATGGAAGAATGGGCTCTAAATATATAACTGTAGTGATTTGTGGCTCACTGAGGCCTTTATATAACGCGGGAAAGGTTTCCAAATGATGCAGAATCTGCAAATGTTTAGGGCCTTCAGATATATATGGAAGTTGACAGGTTAGGGAGAATGATAATCCAGTGGAGAAGAGGAAAGGACCCCTTACCTGTAGTTTAAATTCAGACCCAGTGTTACCATCTCAGCAAGAATGGAACTGAACAGGGAGATTATACTGTGGCGGACAGAAACAAGCCTAGAGTGATCCTTTGGGGCATTAACCGGGTGACACACATCCACTGCTAATTTTGAATCTGAAAATGTACATTAAGATAATTAAAGGTAATTGAAAAATGGGGAGCAGATTGCGACAGGCAATTTTGGCCACTTTGCTTGGTAATTTCCTTATGGTTTTATCTTTATGGTTCTGTCCCT